AGGCAGCTTAAAGAGTTAAAAACTGTCCAGTTTTATTTTTCTCTGACCCTTTAATCGCTTCTTGGATTTATTCTCGATTAAATCTAAGCTTTATATATATAGTGTGCTGTAACCTATCTCTGCTTTAGCCCTCTATAGTGTTAAACAGCAGTATTAACTGTCTAATCATGGTAAATTAACAATCATAGAGGTCACATTCTGCAGAACGAGCTCACATTTTGCTCAAAACACTTATAATGTTCTTTAACGCTCTTCTGGTAAAGTCTTTTTATTGTCGTGGCAGTATGCTGGCTGAAGTGCCAGAGTCAAAGCACCACTGCTGAGCTTTTTTCTAGCAGGAACAACAGCGGCATTTACAGTTAAAGCAGCTCAAGAGACAGTAGCAGCGAGCATTTACACCAGAATGACACGAGGTGCAAATGAAAGCAAATTTAAAACGAGGTCTGCTTTAAAGTGAGCTCCTAGTTGAGTGTTCTGCCACGCTTTAAGTCCCATTAAAGCAACACATGGCGACATTTAGCGTGTGTGTGCATCCGATAGAATTTAGTCTAATCTTATCAAATTGTGTAATCCACGAGATGAAATCACTCTAAACGTTACATGGATTAACGTGGATAGAAAAGGTCACGAAGTGTTAACACTCTTTTAGTACTTTTTGAACCATTTAGCATATTTCTCAACCGCCAGTCTGACGACAGCACAGAAACACTATTGTTTCATTCATTTAAATGAGATTCCATGAGTGCTGTTGTTGCGGATGAATTATGTATGTGTTGCTGTGCTGATATGTGATAGACATTGCCTCCCTGGGAATGTAGGACACATACTTATGCATAACAATAGTTTTCGGTTATGTTCTCACCGACTGGCCGTTCATCTCGAAAAATATTCTTTTCTTTTTACGAGAAAGTCTGTTCAGTGTGCTTACATTATTTGTCGTAGAAGGAAGCAGGTCCATATCTCAAAACAGACGGTTACTGTATTCAAATGTAGAGGAGGGTCGCCCCAATATTTTTACTGGCTACTTTATTGTTGTATGTCATACGTCTGCCAGGAACACCCTGCAGCTGCACTGGAGGTTTAAAATCAATCAGACAGGCCACTTTTGATAAACTGAACATCGTTTTTTAATATTTAGTGTTATAATATTTCTCTTTACAGTCTGCAAGGGGCATTTGGGTCTGTTACTAAGAGGGGTCAATCAAAATAGCACATCTTTTTATACATGTGCTAATAAACTGATACAGACTCTGTCATGACCAGATCATCATCATCATCAGTGTCTTCTTTCTTTTTTTACAGTGTGTGTAATTACACTGTTATAATAAAATAATATCCAGTCTCTTTACTTAACCTAAAGTAAACTGATATAGTACCAAATAGGCTACGTTATTGGTCAATTAAAAAAAATAAAAGTCTGTAATGACGTCAGTGTCTCAGAAAGCTAATGAAATTTGAACTTTTTTGCTCACATGTGAAATTTACGTGATATCCAGTTAAATAAGCCTGTATTTCTAAAGGTGTGTTGTGGCACTTCAGGCTACTTTTGTGTCCTTCTCTCGTTACGTTTTGTCACCATCAACAGGAGTTAATAGTTGTTTGTGTGTTGTGTGTGTCGCCGCTGTGAAGTAGGATCGAGACGCATGTCCACTCGGATCTTCTCTTCGCCGGCGGGGAAACCCGGAAATCCCTGGCCGAGATGAAGTGGTGCCGCTTGGGGAAAGCCCTGCCTCGGGGCGAGGGTCGACAAAATGTGCGGGCTTCTCAGCCAAGAAGAGGCTCTTTTTATTATTATTATTCTTAAACATCCTCAAAAGCGATGAGAGGATTAATGAAGCGCGTCTGCCCGGCCCATATGTCCTCTTTAGTGCCGTTTGTGCGTAATTAAAACCGAATGGATACTCCGGCCCCCTCCCCGTTGCCCCCCTCGCTGCAGGAAGACTGACTTACTGCTTTTTTTCTAACATTTATTATAAAACCTGTTGGAGTTTTGACACTGTTGTGACCGATAAAAATAAAAATCCAGACTGCAATTTATTAGGAACAGGTTTTTGCACTGATTTGTATTCGGTTTGTTTTATTATCCGAGAACTGATCAGGAGCTCAACTCTTTATAGATACGTGGATTAAATTATATTGAGACCTCAGTTTCGGTATTTTTCTCCATAAATTATAATCAACATTTCTCATATTATGTTTTGTCCCTATTCTTATAAATTATTTTTTTCTTCCTCAACTCATCATTTCCCAGCTGTTCTACATTTTTAATAATATCTATTATTTATCTTACGAATGTCGTCTGCATTTAGGTTTTAGAGCCTGTGCTAATTTCAAGCCTTTTGTCTTTACAAACGATCTGATTAAAACACAGAAGCTTTAAAGTGTTACAGGTATTTAAAAAAAAAAAATAGATAAGAGAAATGTCATTCCTATCGTGCGCTCAAAAGGCTGCAGTTGTTCCTCTGCGGAAGCATAATTGCGCATCAATTAGTGCTAATTGGGGGTCAACTGAATAATACAAAACCCTTCAGTGGCAGCAAAAAGCCACAGATTTCAATGAAGCTTCTGACATCTCGTGTGACATCCTAATTAGAGGAGTGACACCAGCCTTCCTATGATTTAATCCACGCACGGGCTCTCTCTTCCTTAAACCCCAAAGCGGCTGGCTATAGGTTTAAGACCACTATACACAAACCAGTATGTCAGCAACTGCACATGATGCTGGCTGTGATAACAGCGTACTGAGAGTGAATACTTCATCAGGGACCAAGGAAAGTATAAAAGCGTTTGTGGGTAAATATGATTTTCGAAATGAGTCATGTGTGCTCTCTAAACACAGTCTTTAAAGAAAACCCTCCAGAGTTTGGGCCTACAACATATTCAATTAGAGAAAACTACTTTTCCCCTTTTTCTTCGTTTCTAAGGAAGGGGAGTGTTTTGTTGTGTTATTTGTTTTTGCACTGGCGTTTCAGCGGATGATAAAACACACCCTCCGAACCAAACTGACGTTTACCATTTTGCGCACCACCTGTCTTTACGCTCGTGTTTGCCCCTGGACTCTTGAGCAAGCACAGCCCGTGTCACATTTCTCCGTGTGAACGGGCCAGTGGCGCGCGTCAATGAAAATGTTGGGATTACCCGCTTTCACGAGACGGGATTAACATAGCTCTGTCATAATTCAAATTCCTCCTTGCCCGGGTAGTTGTGACAGACACGGTGAACTGTGTAGGCAGCTGTGATCAGCAGTAAGAAACCACAATTCAGATAATTAACTGCAAACGATGGCAGTCAGGTCTGAACCGGATAAACGGAGGCGATAGAATAGTGTGGTTTTTTTCTCTCGATGAAACACGTGATAAAAGAAGAAAGAAACACAAGAAATGGATCAGATGGATGCACAAGTGCAGCCGAGGTGGATCAGTTGAAGTTGTTTTTATTGGGATTTTAGTGTGTTCGTTTGTTGCCCCCCACCCCCCGCCCTTTACAGCTCGAGTGAAATCCCTCACTGCTTGCTTCATTAATCGTACACTCCCTATTTTATTTAACTAATATCTCCTTATAATAATTTATCAACAACACCCGAGACATTAAAAAAAACTATCAAATTCACAGCTGGCTCGTGGCACACGGGTTTTGCGCAAAGCGCAATTGCATACAGGTTGTACAAAAAAACACAGACACAAGGGCAAAATAAACACATCAGGGATTTTATGCTCACACGCACAT